ACACCGGCCCGACAGGACACATGGGTAAACAAACCTTAACTAACCCTAACTAATCCATGACACCGGCCTGACATGACACATGGGTAAACTAACCCACCGACACCGGCCCAACAGGACACATGGGTAAACTAACCCACTGACACCGGATTGAAAAGGACACATGGGTAAACTAATCCTAACTAACCCACCGGCCCGACAGGACACGGGTAAACTAACCCTGACTAACACTAACTAACCCACTGACACCTGCCTGACAGGACACATGGGTAAACTAACCCTAACTAATCCACCGACACCTGCCTGACAGGACACACGGGTAAACTAACCCTAACTACCCCACCGACACCGGCCTGACAGGACACGGGTAAACTAACCCTGACTAACACTAACTAAACCACCGACACCGGCCTGACAGGTCACATTGGTAAACAAACCCTAACTAATCCACCGACACCGGCCTGACAGGACACATGGGTAAACTAACCCACTGACACCGGATTGAAAAGGACACATGGGTAAACTAATCCTAACTAACCCACCGGCCCGACAGGACACGGGTAAACTAACCCTGACTAACACTAACTAAACCACCGACACCGGCCTGACAGGTCACATGGGTAAACTAACACTAACTAATCCACCTACACCGGCCCGACAGGACACATGGGTAAACAAACCTTAACTAACCCTAACTAATCCATGACACCGGCCTGACATGACACATGGGTAAACTAACCCACCGACACCGGCCCGACAGGACACATGGGTAAACAAACCTTAACTAACCCTAACTAATCCATGACACCGGCCTGACATGACACATGGGTAAACTAACCCACCGACACCGGCCCGACAGGACACATGGGTAAACTAACCCTGACTAACACTAACTAACCCACCGACACCGGCCCGACAGGACACATGGGTAAACTAACCCTAACTAATCCACCGACACCTGCCTGACAGGACACATGGGTAAACTAACCCTGACTAACACTAACTAACCCACCGACACCGGCCGAACAGGACACATGGGTAAACTAACCCTAACTAATCCACCGACACCTGCCTGACAGGACACACGGGTAAACTAACCCTGACTAACACTAACTAACCCACCGACACTGGCCCGACAGGACACATGGGTAAACTAACCCTGACTAACACTAACTAACCCACCGACACTGGCCCGACAGGACACATGGGTAAACTAACCCTAACTAATCCACCGACACCTGCCTGACAGGACACATGGGTAAACTAACCCTGACTAACACTAACTAACCCACCGACACTGGCCCGACAGGACACATGGGTAAACTAACCCTAACTAATCCACCGACACCTGCCTGACAGGACACATGGGTAAACTAACCCTGACTAACACTAACTAACCCACCGACACTGGCCCGACAGGACACATGGGTAAACTAACCCTAACTAATCCACCGACACCTGCCTGACAGGACACACGGGTAAACTAACCCTGACTAACCCTTACTAACTCACTTAAAGCTTGATTTGAAGCACAGCTCAGGTGTTTGATCAAACATCATCATCAATAACAGCTCATAACTAACATATGAGGAAGATAGGATGCCTGGAGTGTGATCAGTCTTTGGAAATCATGCATGTTTTAGCTCAAATTATTTAGTTTGTAGACAAATAGACACATTTTTTGAAAGAAATTAACACTTTTATTCATCGAGGATGCATTAAATTGATCAAAAGTGACAGTAAAGACATTTATCACATGGGTAAACAAACCCTAACTAATCCACCGACACCGGCCTGACAGGACACATGGGTAAACTAACCCACTGACACCGGATTGAAAAGGACACATGGGTAAACTAACCTTAACTAACCCACCGGCCCGACAGGACACATGGGTAAACTAACACTAACTAATCCACCTACACCAGCCCGACAGGACACATGGGTAAACAAACCTTAACTAACCCTAACTAATCCATGACACCGGCCTGACATGACACATGGGTAAACTCTCTTTCGAACTTTCTATTCACCTGTGAGTCCTGAAAAATAAAATGTATCACGGTTTCCACAAAAATATTGTGCAGCACGGTTAATGTCAATGTTTTACTTGACTGTCTGTTCATTCCTCTAATGGCGATTGAATGAGCTGATGTCTATAATCTCATCAGCTATCAGCTCATTCCATGCAGGAAACCATGGTAACATTACCGTGTTTTACCGTGTTCTGCTTCTCTCTCTGTTCATGCTTTCTCTGGATCAGACTGATTTCACAGACACCGCTGTCGATGGAGAATTAACGGCCACCGAGGTTTGTGATCTGAGCTCGTTTCTCATCTGACCTCACATAATAACGACAGACGTGATCAGATCTCTGACGTCAGACTGAAGACTCGTGCATGGCAGAAAAAACACGAATGCAATGAACGATTACAGTAATTAGATTGCTAATTAAGATACGGCAGAGCTGTTGATGCTCTTATTAAACTTTAATCTGATAATGGCCAATAATCATAATTGTTCTTCTGGAGACGGAAACATTAAGCCTGTGATGCTAATGAGTTCAGCCTCCTGTTGATCCCAAACGTCTCATTCCTTCATATCAGTGTCATAATTTTACGCTTTTTGTGTCTTTTGTGCAGTCGGATCAGGAGGACGAATCTGAAGCAAAGACGCTGGTAAGATTCAACAGTCTCTACTTAAATATTAAAACACTTTTTTTCCACTTAAATTATTTTTCAAAATTGTAAATAAAGATTATTAGATTCTGTTTTACAAGAAAATACTATTTCAGTCTTCAATTACTTTGTTAATTACTATTTTTGTATTATTTGTGAAATTTACAAGTGGTTTCTGAGTGAAAATTGCTTCAAAAATAAATGCTATATAATTTTTTTTAGTGTACACTGAAAAAAATCAGTGTAGAAACAATTTTCACTCAGAAATCACTAGCAAATTTCACAAATAATTACAAAGAATCAGCAAATAACACATTGAATTACATATGAATTTTTGCAATGGTATTTTTTTGTAAAATGTGCTCCAATTATAT